ATATTTGGGTCTACTTTTTCTTCTAGTAGGTACAGGGTCTCTGGCTAAATGCCTAGGTTCTTGATCCACTTTGAGTTAAGTTTTGTGCAGGTTGAAAGATAGGGATCTAATTTGTTTTTGCTACATATGGATTTCCAGATTCTCCAACACCATTTGTTGGAGAGGCTACTTTTCTCCAATGTACGTTTATATGTCTAATATGAGATAACTGTATTTATGTAGGTTTGTCTCTGTGATTCTATTCTGTACCATTGGTCTTTGTGTCTGTTTTGGTGCCAATACCATGCTGTTTTTGTTGTATAGCTCTGTAGTATAGTTTAAGGTCTGGTATTGTGATCCTTCTTGTATCACTATTCTTGCTAAGGATTGCTTTGGCTATTCTGGGTCTTATGTTTTTCCAATGAATTTCATGGCTGCCTTTTCTATGTATATGAATAATGTCATTGGGATTTTAATAAATCTGTATGGTGCTTTTGGTAGTAAGGCCATTTTGACAGTATTAATTCTTCCTATCCAAGAACATGGGAGATTTGTCCATCTTCTAAGGTCTTCCTCAATTTCTTTCTTTAGTGTTCTGTAGTTTTCATTATAGAAGTCTTTCACCTCTTCTGTAGATTAATTTCCAAATATTCTCTTTGAGGCTTGGATTTTTGTTTTTAAGATTTTAAGTCATGTGAACCAAAAGGCATTTGGATCTATTTCTTTTTTTAAAAATAAAATTTAATTTATGATTGCTCATTCATCCATATGTCAATTTTGGTACCATGTAAATGATATATAGACAAAGACACATATATGGACACACATATAATACATAGGTTTTTATAATCATAAAAAATACATTTTTATATAGAGAAAACAATGATTTTGAGCTTTCTCTTGAGTAATTGACCTCTGAATAATAACAGTGGGAAAAACAGGGTGCAGAAGAACCTCTCTAGTTAAATAAAACAAGACTATCCAACTATTTCCTAAAAGTCTCACCTTTGGACATTGATGCACTGAGGGCCAAGCCTTCAACATATGATCTTTTCAGGGACATTCTGGGTCCAAACCATCACACTTTATAAATGCTTAACAAAATATATTAAGGTAGGTGCACAGGATTCTAATGTGTATTCACCTCAAACCTTGAGCAAAACCATGACCTCAAAAAAAATACAGAAATTAAAAAAAATATGACATGGTCATATTCCTCTA